GGGCCTAACTAAAGAGAGCTTGTTAAAAACAAAATGGTGTACTTTAGCATTACAAGGCACCATACGAAGACATTTGAGTTGTCATAATATCTATCCATCTATAGTGTCTACTTTTTAATGAGTAGATTATATAATTGTTCAAAATGAGCTCTAGATTAGACAATTGAATTGTTTTACTTTTTTTCACTGCATGAAGGGGAGGAGGTTATAAATGAGATGAAAGAAACAAACATAAGCATAAGCAACATCTCAAATCAGGGCTAGATACTTTGTGATATTCTATGGGGTCTATAAAATATGGGTGTTCTCTAAAACTCTTCCTCAGACAGGGCAATGGGGTGTGGGAGAAAGAGACAAAGATAATTCTGGTGTGATTTGTTTTTTGCCGTATTTTAAAAGTTCTATATTTTATAGCTAGTATGCTCTAAAAAGAGACCTGGGGCTCTTTAAAGAGTTTCAGAGAAGAGAAGAGGGAGAAATAAAAGAACTGCTTCATTACAATTTCTCCTTGATAGCAAACATTAGATAGACTAGTGTTCAAATGATCATTCTATGCACAAGAGTATTAAATTATTCCTATTAGTTTTGCAGATTGAGAATGGATGATTCTCAGTGGAAAGCTGATTTAAAAAAACAACCCACCTATTTCATTTCATTTTTCACTCATCTGCTCTGCCTACATCAATTTGAAATATATACTTACAGTGGCTTTGAAAGATGTCTATATCTTGGGCTCAGATAAACTGGTGCCATTTTGGTGAAAAGGTGGGAATTCAATCAATCAATATCAGTCAAATATTGCACTATAGGGGTATAAGATGTCTTGAATAATAGAACGAACTGGGAAAACATGTAAGCTGGCCCAAGTCCCTTTGGGGAGATGGTGGCGGGATACAAAAATAAATTGTTGCTGTTGTTGTTGTTGTTGTTGTTATTATTATTATTATTATTATTATTATTTGAAACACAACAAGATGAGTCCACAGTAGACACTTTGCTGGCTGTTGAATTGGATCACACATCGGACACTTCCCAAGTGTCTAGGACTGTGAGATGTATCGGCGAATAATGTGTGCAGATCCCAGTAAGGTGGCCTTCTGCAGCTGGCAGATGGTAATTTTGTCAGCATCGATTGTGTTTAAGTGCAAGCCAAGGTCTTTAGGCACTGCACCCAGTGTGCCAATCACCACTGGGACCACTTTGACTGGCTTGTGCCAGTCTTTGCAGTTTGATCTTTAAATCCTCATATCGTATCAGTTTTTCCAGTTGTTTCTCTTCAATCCTGCTGTCACCTGGAATTGCAACATCGACAATCCATACTTTGTTTTTTAACACGATTGTGAGGTCAGAAGTATTGTTCTCCAAAACTCTGTCTGTCTGAATTTGGAAGTCCCAGATTAGCTTGACGTGTTCATTCTCTGTAACCTTTTCTGGCTTGTGATCCCGCCAGTTCTTTGTTGCAGGCAGATGGTATTTGTGGCACAAGTTCCAATGCATCATCTGTGCAACGGTGTTATGCCTCTGCTTGTAGTCTGTCTGCCTGATCTTCTGGCAGCAGCTGAGAATATGATCTATTGCTTCATCTGCTTCCTTGCAGAGTCTACATTTGGGATCTGTCATTATTATTATTATTATTATTATTATTATTATTATTATTATTATTTGAAGTCTATAATTTAGGAGAGTATGGTAAATAATTCTATATGTCTCACCACCAGCAAATCCAAGGATTGTATAGGATAAAGCAAATGTAGTTATAGTGGAATCAAACAGCTGCAATTGTGCATTGTAGATAAACCCTTAGTTTGATAGTCTGCTTGGCATTCTGCACTGAATCCAGTTCTCATCCCATAACTTACATAAATGTTTATTTACTGGATTACCACTTATTCAATGGGTCTCCTTTAGTAGAAAGAAAGGATTAACAACAAAGGGAGAGATGAATGCCTCAACAACTATGCATGTGTGTGCCAGTTATGAAATTAATTTTACAAAGCTTCCATGATAATCAGAAAAAAGAATGAAGAAACTAATAAAATATCAAAATGAAGCCAAGAAATTCTGCTTAGACTGTGACTAGTGTGCTCACTGGAGAAAAATGAACAAACCTACAGCTACTGATTTATATAGGTTTTTTAGGTTTTGTTGAACTTCACCTTCCAGAATTTTACATTCACTATGCTTCCAAGGGCTGCTGGAAACTGTAGTTCAACAATAAATTTAGTGCCACATCACTCCCACTCCTGGTCTCCATTTTCCCTACAGTGCTGTTGACTTTTCACCTCTTCAGATGGGCTACCTTCCCTATTGTATGCTGCTTGCTCTCCCTTTTCAGGATGGAGCCCTTTAGACAACGCATGTGTACTTCTAGCCAAGCTTCATTAGGAAAGTGGAGAGAAAGTGGCGTATGTGGCTGATGTGGCAATACAGGAGGGTTCCTGTGTTGCCTTTAGGACAATTTGGGGGGGGGGGGAGCCAGGTGGCAATGCTTGTCACCATGGGATGGGGGTCGAGGTATGCCATGTGATGTGGGGTGTGGAGTGACTGGTTCAAAGCAGATAATCTGGATTCAGAAACTGGGTTATATGGCTGTGTAAATGGGATCTTAGGCTTAGGGCCTCTGCAGATTGTACCAAATCCTCGTGAGGGCTGTATCTGACCCCCAGGCCATATTAAAATATGCCTACAGTTGATTCAAACTTGATCAATTCTCGTGTTGATTTTTTTACCACTCTTTCTCTACTTCACTTCTTGTTATTAAGATGCCCAGCACTTTGACCAGGGGTCCTCAAACTAAGGCCCAGGGGCCTGTTACGGCCCTCCAAGGTCATTTTCCCAGCCCTTGCTCAGGGTCAACCTAAGTCTGAAACGACATCGAAGCACACAATAACAACAACAACAACGATCCTATCTCATCAGCCAAAAGCAGATCCACACTTCCCATTGAAGTACTAATACATTTATATTTGTTAAAATTGTTCATCATTTTAATCATTGTATTGTTTTAAGTGGGGGGTTTTTTTGCACTACAATTAATATATGTGCAGTGTACATAGGAATTCATTCATGTTTTTTTTCCAAATTATAATCTGGCCCTCCAACTGTTTGAGGGACTGTGACCTGGCCCTCTGTTTAAAAAGTTTTGGACCCCTGACTTTGACTAAGAAGAATACAAATGAAAAATTCATGAACTCAACTACTGTTTTCCTATCTTCTTTCTTAGCTTTCAACTCGTAATGCTTATTTCTTTAGGCTACACATAGGTGTCTAATAGTAGAATCTATGATTTTAGATTGTGTGATTTTAAATATTCGTTTTAATGTTGATATGTTTTAAACCTTTTGGTTTAATGTATATGTATTTGATTTACATGTCTGTTTATGCGGCATTGAATTGTTGTAAGCCACCCTTTGGGGTGAGAAGGGTGGGGTATAACTATAGTAAATAAATAAATCATACACACACACACATATTCAGAGGCAAAGTTTTCTGTGTTCATTGACATTCCTTTCAGATAGTTGGTATATCATTGAAACCCAAAGCCAGGATCCTCTTGGTGATTTACATTTGCATAAATGGAGATTATGTGCAAGTGCTTTTTATGTTATTGCAGGAGATACCAGTACCTCTTTCCACAGTGGTTTCTTTCCTGCTTGAGTAACAGCAAAGGGATGGATGCTGCGTGAAGCTCTTCTCCTTGGCCCAAATTGTTTCTAATTGGTTGTAAGGGGTAATGGGAAAACTCATTCTGTATCTAGCCATTGTCAGTTCAGTAGCCATCACTCTTTAACAATCACAAATCTTAACCCTATTTCCAAGGAATTCATTGTTTCTACTTCTGTAAAGGCATGCATTTGGTTTTTACTGTTCCTTCTTATTATCATGAACAGACCTAGATGTATACACATTGTATTATTATAGCACTTTAATTGCCATGGCTTCATCCTACATAATCAACCTTTTTGAGATGCTTAGGCCTAGAGCTGTCTAGCAGACAAGTCTAAATACTTCACCAAAAAGTATAAATCCCAGGATTCCCTATTATGAAGCCAAGTGCTATAATTGCATTACCTGGATGCAACTCTTATTTGGAGGAGGAATAATGAGACTTCAAGTACTGTGCCCAGCATTATACACAGGGATATACAACTGTTGCATAAAACTTTGAAGGAGTTTCTGCCTTATCTAACTGTGCTAATTTGCTTTTGTCGAAACAGCAAGTGACTTATTGTTTTGTTTCCCATCCTAGCAGCATCCGACAATTCAGAATCATGAAGCCAGCAATGCTGAGAAATTCCTTTTGTCTTGCTGATTCGATTGACAGAAGATAGTTGGAGCTCTCTTGTGAACCCATGTGAACAATACAAAAGAACACAACATGATTTAATTTACCTGTCTTTCTATTTGGACTAACTGTCAGCAACTTAGTGAAAAGGAGGAGCCATCCTAAGTGAGACATACTGCTGAAATTACTGCAACCACAAATTGAATAATAGCAGCATAATGTATGAAATATCTCTCCAGTTGCTTAATATCAGTCATTAAGAATGATGAGTCAGAGTTGTTCAACAGTTCATCTGCTGTTTTGTTCTGAGCCATGCACCATGATTGCCAAAAACAGAAGCCTTTCATGGAAGACTCATCTTCTCACCCCAAATATATGGATAATTCAATTTATGAAAAGGCTGGTCTTAGCACACATTCATCAGCAACCAGATATGTAATTTTGGGCACTACTTCACATTGCAGTTTGCCAAAATGTTGCAACTTCATTTCTTCTGCTATGATAGCATTTGCATGGTAAAGAAAAAAACTCAACTAGCAAAGCTCCTACTGCCAGAGAACTGCAGGGTTAAGGGTAACCTATTCAATTTATTTCCTCTACATGGGCAAGAAACATTTTCCTAGAATAAAGAGGATGGCTTTAATTTAACAAGGAAGGTATTTCTGGGCCAGAGGGCTTTTCAGTGCCATTTTTCTTTCACCACTTCGATACATACCATGCAGGGTTAACTCCCACCAACATCACCATTTTCAAGGCTATTCTTTTGTGCAAATTCCATTTCTCGATGGATGTCGCCAAGCAAATCACTCCAGTTAATAGCAGATGAAAATCTTTGAAATAAGCAGATGCCACCTAAAAGCAAGATTCAATTTGTTAGCTAAGTGTGTTCTTTTCTGTTACCATTATTCAATCTGAGTGATAGAATACATTTCAGTTTGTATAGGAAAGAGATTGTTGAAAATAAAATTACATGGTTTAGCGAAATAGAAGATCCACAAAGCTAATGCAGATCAGTCCTCATGATGGCCTCTTAAAACAATCCTGAAAATAAGTGAAAGTTACATTTGTGAAACAAAAACTAAACTAGTGTAAGTCAGAGGTTTCTTTTGCTTTTACTGCAAGGCCTTTTTGAATTGACTCTTGCTCGTTTGGTCTTATGGTCAATGATCTCAGCTTCATAGACTGAAAAATTAGTGCAAATTCACAAGTTCACTTTTAAAAAAACAATTCTCCCCATAATTCCTGGAGATGTGGCTGAAGTTCAAAAATATTGGATTCAAAATGCCACTTTACAGATTCATTCATTTTTCAAATTATAGTTTTTTTAAAAAAATAAAAACTGGCCAGCTATTGCAATAGCTACAATGTTTTACTTTTCTATGTTTCAAAACTTGCTCAAATTTTTATTTTAGCTATTTTGGGAAGGGAATTGCCATTTAGTGAGACATTATTCCTGCAACCATAAAAATAACTAAAATTGCTATAACACACAAGAAGTTATGTTGAATCATTAAGAAATGCAGTTATGCCCTTGAAAATGGAATTTATTAGAGATTTTTGGTTCCCTGGAGGTTATAGCAGATGATCTAATAATTTCACATCTGGTTACAGGAACAGACCCAGATGTGTCTCAGATTTGCCCCCTGTTCTCCATTAGAATGACTGCAGGGGATAAGACTCTACAATAAGGAAACACCAAAATAAGAATTGCATTAGTTGTTCTTCATGTGTTTATGCCACTAAGGCTACCAGACTTGATAGGTTTGGATTTGTGACCACAGTACACAATCACTGTTATCCAGAAAATTGAGAAAACACATAATAAGACTGATAGAATGAAGTGGTGGAGCCTCCTATCTAATGTTTTCTGACTTATTTTGGATTTATGGGAAAGACGGGATGAATAGATTAAGGACCTCTTCACACGGGGCATTTTAGCCCTGTTTTGCCACTGTGTTTCATGGTTTGGACAGTGCCTGCCATGCTCCATCAAATGCACCCTGTTCCATCCCCACCGTATGATGGCAGAAGGAAAGGGTGCGCAGGGTGTCATGAGCCGCCCTGCACAACTTTCCTTTTGGCAGCAACTGCTCGCAAAACGGCACAGCCCAAAAGGGCCATGTGAAGAAGTCCATAGGCTTTTTCTACTTTTCATAACTTGGTTCCCCCTCCCTATCCAATGGTGCAATCAAATACCAATTTATCTAGACCTGCTTAAATTAAAATACATTTGCTTACAGAGTGGATGGGGTGCCTTATTAGCCAAAGCATCATTCAGTTTTCAAGTTTCAGTACTCTCCCCCTCTTCCAATTGAAACATTGGTATATATGAGAATGCCAGGAGGTATGTATAAAATTGCTCGTTCTATTTATTTTCTTGATTGTTACAGCCTCCTTTTCATAGCAAAACATGCTTCAGTAAAAACCAAGAGGCAGCCATCACTTCCTCCTCTTAAATGGACTTAGAGTGCATCTACATTGTAGAAATAATGCAGTTTGGCACCACTGACTGCCATGGCTCAATGCTATGAAATCATGGGAATTGTAGTTTGGTGAGTCATCAGCACTGTTTAACAGAGAAGGCTCAAAACCTTGTAAAATTGCAACTTCCATGATTCCATGGTGCTGAACCATGACACTGACAGTGGTGTCAAACTGCATCAACTCTACAGTGTAAATTCATCCTTAGTAGGGATTAATAAAAATCCCTAGCACATACTGATAATGGATTGGTAACTTCAATAATATAGGAGTGACATTAAAATACTTACATGATTAAAGATGGAAATACATTTAATGATTGGAGTTGTGGTAGGTGATAAACAAAAGAATTAAATGTACCTGCTTGGAAGCCATAATCCCAAATAATGGAAACATCAAGGCAGGAAGTAGTGCTGTAACGGCCAGGGGCAAAGCCTCCGTCAGCCAAAAGATGGCCACCACGAACAACGTGTATGCACATTCTGCTTCCTGGAACAAACAGATACAATTAAAAACTAAAGCAGATTTTTATAACACAATCCCAATCACCATGTGAGAAAAATAGAAGAATAAAATAATTAAATTGATATTATAAACCCAGGTGGAATAGTAATAGCATTTACTGGGAAGTCTGTTCATTTGCTTAGACCAGTGGTTCTCAACCCGTAAGTCTCCAGATGTTTTGGCCTTCCACTCCCAGGAATCCTAACAGCTAGTAAATTGGCTGGGATTTCGAGGAGTTGTAGTCCAAAACACCTGGGGACTTATGGGGTTGAAAACAACTGGCATAGACACTAGAAATGATTAAATGTTGGTGTCTTGGTTTTTAGGTTTGTTCCTGGGGTTATTTGTGGCACTTGTTTAAAAAATTGCATTGAATAGACCGCATCAGCTCTACTGTCTTAGATATGGTTATCATGATTTTTTATGGATAAGCTGATGAAGACTGGTATATAGCAAATGTTCTGTATCTCAAACATTAAAGCTGATCGAGGAAAACGGATGCCATTTTTAGAATCGGCAGGTCAAATATACCCAGAAACAGGTCTAACATTTAAGGGACCAAAATATGTTTTTGCCAGTGTTATGGTTAGATTACCCAAAATGTATTACCAAATATTTACTGCGATCTCATGAGATTTCTTGGAAGGAGATGTGTGGATGGTACAATTTGATTCTGCAAAATGTTGTGAGACAGGTCCAAATCCATCTAAAAGATTAAAACAGGCTTGTACTGGCTGATCTTATGCATATTTCCTCATTATGTTTAATGAGCGTTCCTTGGATATAACTCTCTATCAGTATCACTCTTAAGATAAGAGGCTGTTAGGAATAGTGAGAGTTGAAGTCCAAAACACCTGGAGGGCCAAAGTTTGCCAATGCCTGACATATATCATACAATGAAGCAATGTTCCCATGTTCCATATCATACACTGAGGTAATGTTCAATTTCACAATGTTGACAGATATGGAACTAGAACAGTTCTGAGTCCCTCAAATTCTGCACTTGCTTCTATGATTCCTAAGCATATTGTTGATATTGCTATATCTTGCACTGCTACTTCTTCTTTGGAATCATTGTAATCCATCTAGTTGAACAGCAAATATGAAGAATTGGCTTGAAAGTTTAAGGATGACTATTGCAGTCACTACAAATGTTCCACCCTTCCTTAAAAAGATGAGTAAGGTCTGTGCAGGTTCAGTAACTTTGACATTATTGTGCTGATTTGGAATTAATGTAATATATCCGTTAATGGAAAATCCACGTCCAGCAGACACTCTTCTAGGTTTATGCACTTGGCAGAGATGTAATTTTCACTGGATCACATTTTGAGCATGTGAATGTCTAGCTGAGATGTCATGAAATGTTAGTGGAAAATTCCTACCGTTTTTTCAAATTAATTTTTATTCAGAGATAAACTGGGGGTGGGATAGAAAAAACAAAAGTAATGAAAGGGGCTTTATTTACATATGTAAAACTACAACTACTATGTCTAATACAGTTATCTCTAAGACAGTCACTAACATAAACTATACCTACACTAATAAACATATAAGCACAGAACTACAAGGTCTATGTTATGGACCTCATTCTCATTGTCTCTTGATTTTTTTACTCTTTGTTTTCCTACTCCCTTTAGATAATATTCCCTTTAGATAATAAATTGGAATTCAACATTATTGAAGTGTCATGGAACAGCATGGAGCGCCGTTACCTTCCCTCTGAAGCGGTACCTATTGATCTACTCACATTTGCATGTTTTCAAACTTCTAGGTTGGCAGAAACTGGGACTAACAACGGGAACTCACCCCGTCTGTGGATTCGAACCACCAACCTTCCAATCAGCAAGTTCTGCAGCTTAGAAATTTAACCTTCTGTGCCACCATGGCCCTCCCAAAGCTGTAGTACACAGGAATCTCAAAAATGTTCTAGTTGGGTTTGGGACTACAATTAGCCATTATTTGCCTACTCCATACAATCAAGAGTGAATGATTACAAAGGAAAAAGAGAATTTCAAAATCCAAGAGGTTCTGACAATACACATGATATCCATAACAAGCGTTAACGTCATACATAAGGCAAGACATTTCCTCAAATGACACTACTTGCGTCTCTTTTCTTCTTAGGCAATGTAATTGTGTAAGGATACGGCTGTTTTGCATATTTTTTTAAAAAAGAATTACAAGCAATAAAACTGGGAGACTAATACGTTTTCCTTGTTTACAATCTTATTGAAATGTATCCCTGTGTAAGAGACGGATAATATAGTTTCAGGCACAGAGAACGAGCTATGCTCAATCTGTTATTCTAATGAGTAATCCTTCTGGCTACGCTTGCCTCTGTTATATAGCGTCTGTGCAATATGATCATTTGAGATGTTGATCAAATGGTGGTGGCAGGGCGGGGTGTGGAATACTGGCTGAAAAAGCTTTCATACATAGATAATGTGTCTCCTTTTTGGCTTGCTTGAGATTTGTTGATAGCTTTAATCATAGCTGATACTGAGAATGAAAATCATCTTTGTGGTTTTCACTCCATACCTCAGCCTCTTCTAAGACCAACCTATCACAGAATTTTTTGAGACTGAGAGTCTATGACTTGCCCAGAGTCACCCAGTGGGTTTTCATGTCTGATTGGGTTTCAAAACATGTTCTCCAGAGTCAAATGACTATGTAAGGCCGGCTCTAATGCACTAGTTTGAGAAATTATCCAAGCTTCCACACAAGATAAAGACAATCAGCGCTTAGCGGGAAATCATTGGATCACAAATGCTATTTGTGCTAGTGGAATGATCTTACATATAATATTTTGATGGTGATGGTGGGATAATGTTAATGCCTAGATAGAGTGAGAGCAATGCAGCCTTCCAATAATGTTGAACTCCAATACCTAACTGCCTTAGCTAGTACAGCCAATGGTGAGGAATACTGCCGTCCAACTCCCTACCATTTCTAAGCTATCATTTCTACTCTTATCTAAATTCGATTGCTAGTCCCAACCAGAATAGAAGCATAGAATCAAGTACTGAATGATAAGTGAAGATTTACGTATATCAGATTAATTCAATGAGTCTGTTCCAGTTATGACCAGACAGTGAATTAAGATTTGTTTTTATTCCATTCCATGTTCATAACCCCACTATGATTTGTCACTGCCATACCCATTTTAAAGTTGATGTAAATGAGATTGAGAGTTAGCTGTTCTAGAGTTGATCATTAAATCCAGTGCTGATTCAGCAATGAAACAAAACTTCAATTCCAACAATTCCTCAACCAGAGCATATATTATGATAAATTCTAAGATATCGGGGTTCTATATGTGCTAAATGTCGAGCTTGTTTCCAAAAGATAGCAAATTTTATAAAACTGAAAAATGAGTTATAGGTAGCAGCACATTTTTAGCTAGAAGTAGAATATTATGTGCAGATCAAAAGTATCAAAATGTTTCAAATCACTTTGTCATTGTGCTTGAACAATTGCATTTTATAGCAAAATAATGCATATCCTCAACACTTTTTTTCAGTTCCTGTGAAATTTGTCCCAATGGAGTTCATACCCTTTGGAAGCAAGCTCCACCAGCAATATTTATGCCAAGTAAAAGACATACACACAAATTATTGGGAACAAATGTCATAAAGATGCATTTTGGACCAAATTTTCAAGAAGGGATTAAACAGATCAACAACAAGCAAAGAACACAAATGTTGATTGATGGCGAACTGACAAAATCCTGTAAAATATGGAAAGGAATCAGAAAAGGATGCCACCTTTCACCATTGCTATTTGTATTGGTGATAGATGTATTAAATAAAGCAATAAGAGCTGAAAAGGATATTAAAGGAGTAAATATAAAAGGTCAAAATTATAAACTAAAATTATTTGCAGATGATTTGATCATATTCTTAGAAGACCCTTCGCATACAGGTGGGAGCTTGAATTCCATCTTAAAGGAAGCACTTTAATTACCTCACCCTATAGGAATCCTGGAATTTGTAGCTTCAATAGGTACTTGGTATTCTCAGCCAGAGAGCTCCAATGCCTCACCAAAGTACAAACAACAGAATTTTATAGGACACAGCCTATAAAAATGGAATTATAGTGCCATAATTATGTTGGGTAAAAGAGATCCACATTTTTCTGGGGGGAAAACACTGAAGTGGACTGGGTTCTCAGAGGGCTCCTAATTGAAGATGTAATCATCTGGAACTTTTTAAGAACTCTCATCAGCTCTCAGGAATAAGGGAATGTGATTACATAATCAAAATCATGTCTGCAAACACTATTAGGCTGGTATATTGTGTGGCCTTTATGTGTGTAAGCATCATAGTTACAGAGCTACAAAGTAAATAAAGGTTCGACCTGCCTCATACTCTTATGCCTTTGATTGGGGTCTGTTCCCCTTTCACTTGGAAGCAGCGGACTAGAGTTTCCATCTTCTCTAGTGTAACAGACACTGGAAATCATTCTGGTGATTGTTTATGTGTGGAAACGGTATTCAGCTGCTTCCCAGGTGACAGTGGAAAAGACCCTGTCAATTGCAGTGGCTGCTTCCCAATAAGGATATATCAGTGGACTTTCAAACTTCCTACACAACCCTTATACTAGGGGCTATATAGGGATCATGGATGCAAAACAGTCATAAATGCATAACTCCAGTTTATATACTCATACTGCCATATAGAATTCAGGCCATAGTGTGATTTGTGGCTGTGATCAGATTAGAAGGTGATTTCTTTTTTTAGATTTCAAATAATCTAGCTTCCAGGAGGAATCTTCTTTCCTGTAATTTGGATGCACTGTTCCGAGACCTTGGACTTATGATTAGATGGCTGGACCATTGATTCGACTCATATATCTGACTTAAATGAATAACAAGAACAGCAAAAACAAACAGGCAGAGTCTATCAGTTTTATCAACAAAGAACACACACACCTCAATAATGTTTATTCATTTTATAGTGTATGATTTAATAGTGAGACCAATACAGCAGGAAACAAGGGAAACAGGGGATAGGGACAGTTGAAACATTTGGAATCATAATCATGTAAATCCCCAATGAGTCACTTACTTTGGTTCTGATGATGAGTGGCAACGGAAGTAGCAGAATGGGAGTAAAAAGAATGAGCAGGAATCGACGATAGACCAAGAGTTTTCTAAGGATCTTCATTGCCCTAGGATGGTGGCTTAGTTTTTCTGTAGAAAAAGTGAGCAACATCTTTTTTACATTGACCCTTAAATAGATGTGTCTGATTAATATTTCTCCAAACTATCACCTTTAGCCATTGCAACAGAGGCTCAAGTCAAACTCAGTTAAAAATAAATCTTGTCTTTTATTGTTTTAGTATCTACATTAACATGTGAGATAAGAGGCATGTTCAACAGCAATCGAAGACTCAACATTTGTTCTTCCTTTAAGATAAGCTATTTTCTGTCCTTATGGAGCTCTCTTTATTATTATGTTCCTCTAGGCTTTCTTTGCACACAAACTAAGTTCTTGAGAAATTAAGGCTTCTTCAACCTGCCCACAACTAAGTCTGGAGCGTTTTTGTTCTGATACTTTATTCAGATTTATTTGTTCAAACTACTCTGATTTAATACTTATAGTAAAAGGAGAAATTAACTAAATCAAACCAAAATGAAAATTAAGTGAAATGTAAATGTAAACCCTCCCGCCCCAAATGTTTTACATTAAACTTTTAAAGTTTAAGTGTGTCCTTGTAAACATTAGCTCAAGTTGAGAAATGTATAATTTAAGTGTTGTGTTGTCCTATACAACTTGATGCTGCATCAGCAGTAAAAGTAACCAGTGGCCTTTTCACATTTTTGTTCACTTACAGTTTCACATGGAGGAAAACAATGCTATATGCCTCTGTGGCTTTTACATCTATGCAGTTAGACCTTGGTAGACATTGGGATTTAATTCCTGAATACCCCATGGATAACAAAATCCTTGAATGTATATGATGGCATGGTAAAATGGTATCACTTATAAAAATGGCAAAATCAAAGTTTGCTTTTTAAATTGTGCTGTTGTTTTATAATATTTTCAAGCCATGGATGGTTGACACTGGATGCAGAATCTGTGGATATGGAGGACTGACTATATTTTATAGCATCCTGCTCTGTACACATCCTTGAAAACCAATGAATTGCAGTCGGGTGACCTCTTGAGTGGATATTTCAAGAGGCACATTTGTTTCTTGTAAAGTTTTGAAAAAAGGATTTTGGACTTCTGGTACATACATATACAGAATAAAAATTTAGTAATATGCATTAAAATTGTACATATTACAAAATTGCATGTGAAATCTTTCAGCCTATCATCTATCTATATCCAGTAGGCATTATTCCAACTTAACAGTAAACAAACTCAGGAAAAAAATACTACTGGGATTCTGGGATATGCAATGTCCTCAGAATAGAAATTGTTCCAAGTGGTGCCCAGAAAATAAAGCAGCTCCCAACAACCTACACAAGTTTGGTGTTGATAGTTATTATTTACTGTGCAGGGGCGGCTTGTCCATTACGCGAAGTAAGCGGTCGCAGAACACTTTTTTTTGCCAGGGGCGCAGAGGCGCCTCTGTAAATGCCCCTCGACCACCACTTGAGGAGCGCCCCCTCAGCTCACAAATGCCCTAGCAGTCCGGGGGGAGCCTCGGCTTTCTTGCCTCACTGCCGGGCGATCCTCTTCCCAAAGGGGCCGGGCCCTTGAGCCTCGCCTAGCCCCTCTCGTTCCTGCTCTACCCAGCCACCGGGTGCGCGAGTAGAGCCGGTGCTCAATTGTTCTCCACGTTCGATCCCTTCCCCATGACCTTTTCCTGATCCCCTGGCGCTCCACCCGCCTCCTCTCCTCTCCCCAATCTGTGGATGGGCCAAGGGGCAGAGCCACCACGCCTGGCCCGCTTCAGGTCCGGAGGCATGTCTGAAGACCCCAGAGAGAGAGAGAGAGAGAGAGAGGGAGCCCCTCCGGCTGGAGGTATCTCCCACCTCCGCTCCCTCCTTTGTTTTTGCGCCTACCTTCAGGAAAGGTGGGCATCTCCACCTCTCTCTCTCTCTCTCTCTCTCTCTCTCTTGGTCCCAATGGCTGAGGAGAAAGTCAGGAGAAGAGGTGACTTTTGGTGCACACTCCGGGGTCTTCAGGCACGCCTCCGGTCCCAAAGCGAACCAGGCAAGGGAGCAAGTGCAGCAAGTGTAGTTTAGTTCACCTACAATCAAAGAGCATTCTGAACTCCACCAATGATGGAATTGAACCAAATATGGCACACAGAACTCCCACGACAAACAGAAAATATATATCAATGATTGGTTGGGGGGGGGGCAAAATACTGTTTGCTTACCATTGAAAATTACCTAGGGCCGCCTCTGTTACTGTGTGTAGACTTTTAAACTGTGTCATTAGCTGCAATCATTCACTCACTTATCTAGAATTAAATGGGTCCTCTTTATGAGTAGACATGCAAATAATGGCATTGTAAATGAAAGTGAATGTGGATTATGCTTACTAAATATCATGGCTCTAGTCTATGGGTTCCTGATATGTGTAGTTCAGGAAGGGATTTCACTGCTAGAGTATTTTAGTAAATTGAATCAAACTGCAAATCATATGGCAGTTAAACTGGTATCAAATTACTCTAAAAATGTAATGAAGACAGGATAGAATTTTTTGATTAAGTAAGATGAGGTAGGTGAACTGGAAGGTGCAACAAAAGAAGTTGTATACTATACTAAGTGAGGGTAAGTCTACATGGGCCATGTACCCTGAATTGGTGCAGAAGTTGCCACTGAACATCCTCAAGTCAAGGTGAAGCAGCAATGCCCAAAGTTGACCCTAAGTCAATTGTTGTTTTCTTAAAATTATATTATGGACAGTTTTATCCAAAGGATTTCTGTTACCCACTTGTCTAGCATTGTGTTTGTGAAGAATCATGATGTGTAGTAGCAGTAGTAATAGTTTAAAAAATGTTAGGCTTTAGCATGGAAGTTAGTAGCCAACATTTGAGTTGATTGAAAATAATAAGGTCATGACTGACCAGCTATACTTTAAGAGATCCTGTGTATTTTTAGAATCAATTGATGGTTCTTTTTAAGGTGATTTTTTATTGTACACAAAAGAACATTTTATTATTGTTACATAAAAAGTGAGGGAACACTGGGTTATTAAGAAAGTAGGAAAAGAGATAAGAAAAGATGAAACTAAAGCTGAAAACTAAAGCTAAAGACAGTTTAAAAGAGAAAAAGGGGGGGTGGAAAGTTCTGTTGACTTCCATCTTTGCTTTTGCCATTGTTATTTGTAGTTATAGTTGTAGTTCTAGTTAAAGTTATAGTTATAATCTTCTTGCTCTATAAATTCATATATAGTAAAGAAAAAGGGAAAAAAACAGACAACCAAAAGATAAAATATGAATAAAAAAACTCATCAATTGATGGTTGTTATTATTATTATTATTATTATTATTATTATTATTATTAAACTTTATTTGTACCCTACTAGCATCTCCCGAAGGACTCGATGCGGCTTACAAAGGCCAAGGTCTCAACACAACAACAGCAAACAATAACAATACAATACAAAGCAAATAAAAAACAAAAGCAATAACAAAACATTACACCATTACGCAATAAAAACCAGGGCCGGGCCAGTGATGGGTACAGGTTAAAAAGTGCTGGGTGTGACAGGTGGTATGTTGGAATTCTGGGCAAGTGCAATGTGCAGAGAGTCTTAAGTGCTTCTGGGACATAGTGCTGGGAGTCATCCTATTCTGGAAAGGTGCATCGGAATAGCCAGGTCTTCAAGTTCTTCCTAAAGACTGCCAATGTGGGTGCTAGTCTAATGTCTTTGGGGAGGGTGTTCCAAAGTTGGGGGGGGCAACCACAGAGAAGGCCCTGTCCCTCGTCCTCACCAAATGTGCCTGCGACGCGGGTGGGATCGCGAGCAGGGCCTCTCCGGATGAATGAAGGGAGTGCGTGGGTTCATAAACGGAGATGCGGTTACGCAAGTAGGCAGGTCCCAAACCGTTTAGGGCTTTGTAGGTAAGCACCTGCACCTTAAATTGGGTTCAGTAGGTAAACGGCAGCCAATGGAGCTCCTTAAACAGGAGGGTTGACCTCTCTCTGTAAGGAGCACCAGTTAACATCCCGGCCGCCACTCGTTGGACCAGTTGGAATTTGGTTCTATTGCTACATGAAAAAAAAAAACAAGATAAGGAAAGTCTATTAAATTTCAAGTGACTACTGTATTTGGGTGACTTGTGTATCATACACAACCCAAGCTAAAACTGTTGTTGGCTACCTTGGCAGCTATGCTGGATATAGCTGTCAAGATAGCCAACAACCGCTTTAGTTTCAGTGAGTTGTGTATGATACTATGAAATCGCACTAGCTGAAACACATGGCTTTACCACTCAGCCATACACATCTCTGTGCCCAAGAAGCTAAAAATTAAATTTCATATGTCTTTAATCACATTTTATCAGTATGTCCTCTGGTGTTCTCTCCCTCTGCCCCAAAAGAAAAGAAAACCACCCATACACACTTGATAAATAATCTCTTAAACCTTGAAATCTGTTTCATAGAAGGGGAATTTGTTTTGTTTTCCAGACAAACTGACACAGAAAGAGCAAATGCCTCATAAGGAAAATCAGGCAAAAATAAGACAAAGAAAAGAAAGTTAAGCTTAGAACAGTTTTAAATAATTTAAGAAAATATCATTGCATTCCTATGCCACATCAGTCCAATTCTGCACACAAGTGGGACAGAAGTGCCTATGCAGAGCTGGAATCTTGTAAACAAGTCTTAAGAGAGAGGCTTGAGAGAAGCTGTTCTGGAAACCATGAAAAATGCATTTTCTATGCTCGTTTCTACACTGCTGGGAAGACTATACAACTATACACGCACATTCAGCATTTTTAAGTGAAAACCCTTTATCAGCTAAATTCTTAAACACTGACCAAATCCCTAACCTAATGGATATTAAGGTCCTTAGTTATTCCATAATAATTTATTCTAGAGTTTCAGGCACAGACTGAGAAAGTCCACAGGTATCAGTAACTTCTGTAGTGAGACCTATAATTAACTTTTCTAACCTGAGCTGTTTTCTGTGCAGAGAGTGTGAAATATGCCAATCATGCCTGGCAGAGTTTCTAAAAATGCTCACTTGGAAAGCAGACATAATTCTAAAGGGTAACTATGTAATC